TGAAAAAGGAATTAAGTTCTGGGATATACCAATTGGCATGCAGGAACAAGAATTTAAAAGTATGATAAAAAATAAATCTGAAAATGTAACCTCATGCAATATGAGCACAAGAGGATTGTGGTTATCTGCAATAGTACAATTTAAGAAAGAATATATAGCCAAAAATCTATTAATGAAATGGCCCCAAATTATTGAGGAAGAATCATGCAGAGTAACATTGCACACATGTAATTTTACTAAACTTAAGGAAAGAGATAAATACACAGTAAAGATCATCAATTTAATACCTAATATTATAGCACGAGAATTATATAATATAATAAATCCTTTTGATGTCAAAATATACTATTTTCCATGAAATTTATATGGGAAGAAAAAAAGAATGGCCATAGTATCTTTTGAAAGTCAAGAAGGAAAAGACCAAGTTATAAATTTTAAATGGATTACAGGAGAATATAGAGTTAAAATAGTGAATACAATTTTGAAAATATGTCACAGATGTCACATGGAAAAACATCTTGTGATCAGTTGTCCTGTGGCAAAAAAAAACAAAGAGAAATTAGTAAAAGAAAAGCAAGAGATTTTGAAAAATATAGGTAATTATATAAAAGACAAAGGCCATAACTATATAAATCTCTGATGGGAGGAATTAACATGGGAACAAGTTACTCAGATGCTGTTAAAAATAATATAAATAAAAAAGTTAAAAATAATATAATGGAAAAGAATGATACAATAAATGAAAATATTATAAACATGTTATTAGAAATTTAGAAAGATATAAAAGAAATCAAGGAACAGGTAAAAAATATAGATGAAAGATTGGAATTAGTGGAAACTCATTGTGTTTATGAAATATTAAATGATGAAGAAGTAAAAGAAATGGATATCAGTGATAATAAAAATGAAAAAATGAATGAAAAAGAAAAATCCAAGGCACAAACAACTAATAATAAAAAAGAGGAGAATGAAATGGAAAAAACAATAAATTATATTTATGAAACAGTTAAAACTCTGTTAGAAGAAAATAAAACAACTTTAACATGATTAAATAGAGTGGAAAAGCATATTGAAAAAATAATGAACAAGGAGGAAACAAAACCCTAATTTAAAGAACATAATTTTTTTTTAAAAAAAAAAATATTATATTATGATGAACAATCATAAAAATATAAACATTAATAATAATAATATAATAGAAAACGAACAAAATACTAATATAATTAATAATATTAATATTAAAAACAATAATAACAATTTTTTTTTAAATAATAATAATTTAGAAAAATTAGAAAAAATTCAAAAAAAAAATTTTAAAAATGAAGATAAAATTAAAAATATAAATAAAATTAAAAATATAAATAATGGACTAATAAATAGTAACAATTATGTATTAAATATGAATCAAAATAATGATAGTGTTATAATAGATAAGAATATAAATCAGAATGATTTAAAAACTTTAAAAATAGCTACTCAAAATATAAGAGAAATAACAAATACTACAAAACAAATAGATTGGTTGAAATTCTGTGAAGATAAAGACTTAGATATAATTGGATTAACAGAAACCTGGGCAATAGATGAAAATTGTAAATATATATTCAAAAATGATACAATAAAAGAAATACAAAAGAAAAATAAAAATGTCAATGAATACAAATATTTTTGGGCAAATAGACAATAAACAAATGGTTCAGGAGTCGAAATCATGATAAAAAAAACATGGGCAAAATATGTTTATAAGATAGATAAATATGAAGGCAATGTGATCTCTATAAAATTGTCATTCAAAAAAAAATAAAATTACAAATAATAGTAGTATATTATCCAACAAGTGTAAACCAAAGAAGCTAAGAACTCATGTAACAAAATGGATAATACAAGAGTTAAACAATTACATAGTTAAGGACAGGTATTATGCAATAGTAATGGGAAACTTTAATGCCACATTTAATCCTAAAATTAATAGGTTTAATATTAACATTAATGCAAGAAATAGATCAGATAAACCTGAAAGTCAAATATTGAGATTTTTAAATAATAACAGGTTTAAAGATACTTTAGAACATATAAAGATATTGCAGAAAATGAAAATATGAAGAACAAAACAACACTAAATTTTTTTTGGAGAAACAGTATCCAAGAAATCAAAAATAGAATAGATCAAATATGGATATCAGATAACTTAGCAGATCAACTTTTTTATGCAGATATTATACCTTCAGATTTGGAAAGTTACAGTGACCATATATGTGCAATAGCAGAAATAGAAGACATTATTCTTAAATATACTAAATCTATAACAGATTCTGATAAAATTCTAAATAAGATAGAATTTAACTTCAAGGAAACATCTGAAAAAAAATAAAAAAAATTCAAATCCCAGATTGAATTGACTATAGCAGAAAATATCACCTTTGAAAATGACAATATTGAAGAAAAATGGAATTTTTTCAGAAATGTCATAATTGAAAAAACAAATGAAATAATTCCAAAAAAGAAAAAACTCATATTTGGGAAGTATGAAGAATCAAAAGTACTACATAATTACTTCATCACATATAGAAAACTGATATCTATAAGAAAGATTCATGAGTGAGGCAGACAGTGGTATATTAACAGAAAACAAAAGAACATATTGGAAGAAAAAATAGTTAAAAAAATAAAAAATATTAGGGAAGAGTATAATATAGAAATTGAAGTCCCATCATAAACAGAAACAATAGAAGAGACTAAAAATTGGTTGAAAGGAGTCAAAAAAATGCACCATACTCTACACAAAGTATTTGATGCAAAAATAAAAGATGCAAATTATAAAAAAATTAAAAAACAGATTATCAAAAGAAATAAAAACTTCCAAGACAACAAAAAAATAGTTATTCAAAGTCTCCTAAATAAAGAAAGACCTAGAATATCAACAGACAGTTCAATTAGAATAACCAATAAGCAAGTTGAAGTATTAACAGATCCAGAAGAAATAAAACAAGAAGTTAAAAATGTATTTAATCATTGGATTACCTCAAAAAATATAGAAAACCTAGATCAGAATCAAGTGTGGAAACAAATTTATAATTAAAACAATGAAATACAAGAGGAATAGTACCTATCATTAACAAAAAAATTTACAGTAGAAGAAATTGAAAGAATTATCAGAAAATTACCAAACAAAAAGACAGCAGGTCCATCTACAATTACCAATTTCTTACAGATATATATAATCAGATTTTAAAAAATAAAGAAATACCAAAAGAATGGTCAGAGGGACATATATTCCCTATAGCTAAATCCAAAGATTGGGAGAAGAATATATGGAATACTAGATCAATAACCCTACTAGAAACAGCTAGAAAAATATTTACAAAAGGAATTTATAATAGACTCAGTACAAT